TATGTCTATATCAGGAGATACCTCTGATACATTCTCCAACTTCAACTTCGTTCAAAATTTCTGGACCTCAATGTTTAAGTCCTTTTCAATAGTCAGTTTTAATGCCAACAGAGAACTTAAAAGTATCCTACAAAGTTACATGTTTAGTTATTAATCATACTTTACACCAGCATTTGAAGCTTTACAAACAAAATCAGAAATGCATTCTAATTTAATGATACTGCTGCTTTGGAATTTTGAATTTAAAGAAATAATAATTTTTATTTTATTCAGAATCCATCAAAACGATAATAGAAATTGGAACAGAAATGCATTGAGTACTTTCAGCTACATTAAACACATTAAATAGTGACTGATTATCATTATCATTAGAGATTTAAGTCATTTTCTACATTTCACATTTTGTTTATATCTTCTCAGAAGAAGTTAACACAGATTAAGTTGTTTGATATTGATAATTAAAAAGAATATATAAAAACACATAATATCAAAGTGTTTGGAGGTCCTTCACTTTGCCAAATCTGCTATTTAGAAGTATACAATGCACAGCATCTAAAGGAGCCATTGATATGTCCTGGCAAGAATATTAGCTATAAAAATATCTTCTGTAGAGAATGTAATGCTTCTAGGAAAGAAGCATTTTAAACAAAGTTATACAAATATTAGCAATAATATCATCCAGTAAACCACAGATGATAAATGAGGAATGATATGGACTACACATTTACATAAAAAATCGGCTGCGAGATAAAAAACACAGAGCAACACAAAAACCCAAAATATTTCTGGTAATAACAATAGCATGTACAAAACTATGTATAAAAACGACCAGACAGAGCAGAGGCAATGCTAGAACACAAATATTTACAAGTGTCATCACAAATAAACATCAACTGTACTCAATTTTAAAAACATTTAAAACAACAGAGGCAATATGTATTGTTTAAATGGCGACTAGATGTAAATGTGTTATACAAAAATAAGGAATATATGACATAAATTTGTGTATTATTACTATTATTTACTCTCTATGATGTAAACATGAACTACTCAGCAGACTTACAACATTCGATCATTCTAATTATGTCATCACAGAAGGTGCGTAAAGAATATAGAGACGAGACTAAGAAGCCTTCACAAAAAATCAGTACTTATTCAAGCCATTATTTGTAAATTTTGAGCAAAAAGCAGATCACACTTTAACTACTGTACTTATCCTCCAGTTAACCAACACTTTACCTGTGATTCAAAGTCTGGTGCCCTATGTGGGCTTGCTACAGGACAGTGAGAAACGTATGTGTTGATAAAACAAATTACCTGTCATTCAAAGTCAGGGCCTTATGGGGGCTTGCTACAGGACAGTGAAAAAAGTACAAGTTGATAAAAACTAGATGTAAATAAACATCAATATGGTGTTAACATGCTGCAATCGGTTTAATATTCAATGACTATGATTTTGTGCATGATTTCAACAATTGACAGAGACTCAGAACGTACGGTTTCAAGAGATGCAGGTTGATGAAGATTAAAGGTTAGCTTTACGTCCATCAAAATGATCTCACTGGAGAATATTGTATTTCTTTGTGTGACTTGTAGTTGAATATGATGTTCGTTAGTATGCCTAATGCTCAAGTTTTTGCCATTCTCATTAGCTAATAAGATATTATTCATCACTAAATTGATCGACCATGGCAGGTATTGTTTATAAAGCAAATGATGTTTATCTTCACAGAACACCTGGTCATATTCTTGTGGTATTTTGTTCAGGAGTTTTTCTGTATACTGTTCTTTTATTCATACTTGGCCAAGTTTCAATGAATTTGATTTTGAGGTCAGGTTCTGTAGACATGCCTGTATTTTCTTTTCGTTTCTTTTTCCAACATGCATGGGTTTAAAGGAGGATAAATAGTGTAGTAGACTACACAAAGGACCAGTAATGACAAAAGCAGAGACAGCGGTGACACTAAATGGCAGAGTCTCTAAGTACAATAGAGAAACTGTCAAAAACATGTGGACAAAAAACATTAAAGTACAGAGAAGATTCTTAATCAAGTCTGGTGACAAGACATAAATACAAGCAGAAAACTACACCATTAAATGGAAGAACTTATGGTTAAAATACTACCTGATTTTGCCAAAACATTATATCTCCTATCAATCGTATTACTAACAGCAATCAGGAATTTTCTTCATCAACAAATAATTACATATATAGAATCATGTGAAAGACATCAATTCAGGAATATATTGCTAAGCATAACGTAACATATTTGGAAGTTATCTTATTTGAGCCATTTTGAGCTGTTAGTATTAGACTAACAAATAATTATGCTATTTGCAGTTTCTATAAGCTGCTTACATAATAATAACTACTGTGGATGCAAGCATTAATCACTGTGATAATTTGGAAAAATTGTGATTATGTACTAAAATTGGATTGCGCCAAATTAATTACATTAGTACATATTAATACTGAATAGAGATTTATTGTGTTATAGGTATTACAGTAGTAGAAGACAGTGCAATACAATATATTTACACACAAAGATTTCTTGGCAATCAATAAACTTTTCAATTATTTCTTATTCTATCAAGTTATTTTTTCCCAGAACTTCCTTCTATGGTTCTCTAAAGTCTGCTTCAGATATCACTTTGATTGTCCTTAATTAAAAATTTAAAAAAGATTTAAAAATATATATAACAACACAACATTTTCCCTATGTATACAACTATAATGTTATAAAGCATCGAAAAATTGTTTCAGTATCCCCTAAAACAAACAAAATCTTATCACAAGTTAAAAAAAATGAAAAAAAACCACTTCATTTTTTCAACAAATATTACCTACGCTTTTGTCTTTAGGTCAGAGTATATTTGTTGTGAGTGTTTTTCCCTATGCATGTACTAAATAGAATCGTTTTTATACAACCTTTTATTACTAATATGTATACAATATCTTTTAAAGTTTTTTTTATTTTACTTTTATTTTATTGTGAAATCAGTATAACCTTTACATTTTCAAAGGATTTTCGCGTAAAAAAAATAAAACCAAAACTAACTTTGTGCTTTATGAGACCTGGATTCACATATCTTTGTGCTTTATGAGACCTGGATTCACATATCTTTGTGCTTTATGAGACCTGGATTCACATATCTGAGTCCCAAAAATCACCGATATTCTATTTTCCAAATAAAAATATAATATACAGAATATTGTGTAGTATTGTATCCATACCGCTCTAAACTCAGGGTGCAACTCATAACCTTTGATAGCTTAAAGTTAGGGGTTTGGGAGAGGCTTATTACAGGACATTGAAATACTTTATATTGGTAGTGCTATTGAGCCGAGATAGATGTGAGTGGCTGATTATCAGGCATGGGTTTATAGTCGGATAACTACGGTATTAAAAATACAGAAATTAACAGATGTGTGTGAGAAAAAATAGATTTGTATTTCCAGATATGTTGCATGCCTGAAAACATGATTTGACAAGGTTATGCTGAAGATGAACAACTATAAATATACACCAAAACTGCATTTTACATCTATTCAATATTTGAACAATAATTCATGCTTTTTCAGTATGGATACATTTACTGAAATTTCCTACAAAATAGTTGACTTCTACAAATTTCCTTCATAAATTCAAAGGCAATTGTATAAAATTCATATCCAAATGAAGCTGTTTTACATACCTGATATTTCAAACCTAGTCGCATAAAATTTTAAAAAATCATGCTATTCATGCATTTTACATTAAAGAAAATCTTAATTGGTTTTATCTAGTGTTGATATGCTAATCAAAAGCCAAGAAATGATTGTTTTTAAAATGTTAAATATAAAATCTATCTACTTTTATCTACAATGAACATATAAGTCTCTGCCAACCTTTTCAGTGCTGATATTAGGGCTTGGCACGCGGACGTTTTTATCACCAATTAAAACAATAAATGCAAATTTGCAGCTAAAACATATCTTTTATATATTCAATAAAAAATCAATCCTGACAATGTAAAATAATGATTAGTCTCCTTTCAATAACAAACTAGATTTAATTGCGAAATTTTAATTCATTTCTAGGGGTTGTTCATTACATAAACATTTGAATCCCAACATCATGTCTATCTCTAACTGTCTACTGTGCTGGTAAATATGATCATATTCATATATTGAAATGTAATTTCAATGAAACTAACCATTATCATAATCTGGCTGTTGCTAGGATATAAAAACCCCATGAAAAAAAAACAAATGAAATAAATGACAAAATTATTGTGATATATGGGTTTACATGTTAACTATGTGCCAATACTTAAAAACCACATACAACTCAGCCATACAAAAATATTTCCGAAAATTATGAAAAATATGATATGTTACTCGAATCACAGTAAGGACGAGTTCTTTTGATACTGCCTTTTAAAATCTTCAATTGAAACAGATATATTCCAGTAAAATATTATAACAATGTAACATGGCAAACAACTCTGACACAAACAAAAATGAAATATTCACAAGTATACATTAGCCATTTCAGCTAGATTTTAAATCTTATCGCGTGAAAAAAACGCTTTTAAGACAGTCTGATCAATCAAAAGATTAGAAAACAAAATGTTTGTAAATAACCAATCCATGGCAGATGGTTAGAATTACAATATATGGTAAGCTTTTAAAGCTGTACCTCCATTATATCAACAAATAGCAGATGACATGATATTCTATATATCATCACGTTGTATAGTTCCAGGAAAGATGATAAAAAATGTTTGATGGTATCATATAATATATATTTATATATATACTTTCAAATTAATGTTTAAAAGCATTCCTGTTGTTTTTAGGGTTTTTTAAATTTCAACTCTAGTTAATGAAGAAATATAAAATGCAAACAAAAAGTGTTTTTGCAGATAAAAAAATTTGTTATGCTGAAAGATTTTAAACTTTATTTTTCTTATCAAGAATTGTTAAATAGCAACTGTTATACGATATCATCTATAAATGTATATGCTATTAAAACAATTCAATATCATAAATTGTTAACTTTTTACTGGTTATAATGCAATTTAATCAAAATTTTAATAGCTAAATTGACATTAATTTAAGCTAACTGTGAATTTATATTTAAATATCAGCAGTGATGTGCATCTGTTATTTATGTTTGTTTATAAATTACATAGTGAAACAGCAGATATGGGTTAAATTAATTCATGCTTTCAGGAACTAACTTTCCTTTTGCTTCCTGATTTCCTGAACATAGTAGAAAAGTCATCAAAAGACAGATAACTGATGTCATCCTTCACTGTCACTGCCCAATGTCCAAACTCTATGGCTGTGTCAATGTTTTCTGTGTCGTCATCAAACAGAATGATTTCTTCAGGTTTGATGATCAAATGTCTTTGATTGTATAATTCAGTACAAACTGCAGCCAAATGTGCTTCTTTGCCCAGGATTTGATCCTTGTTTTTCTCTCGGAAGTCTGCAGTGTTGGCTTGAACATAAATCTTTTCTGCATCTCTGAAAAATTAAACAAAAAGACACTACAACTTAAATCCTTAAATGGCAAGACTCTGTACATCTTGGCTATTCAACAGATGTTTAAAAGATTTAATCAAAATCCATGATTTTACATAAGTGAGAGTGCTTCCCTTTAACTGCAACTGCAGCTCAACAAAGAGTCTGCAGCCAATAGATGTTTAAAGCTGCCTATCTGCAAATTTTATTTTATCTCTTATTGTTTCAATCCCAACGCAGACAAAAAATACAATCATCTATTGATAGTTATATATAGCGTGTAGTCTCATTAGGCTACTGGAAAACTTCCTGTTCCTTTCAATAGATCAAAAATATGTCTTCATACATAAACACCTGAAATTATGTCAGATCATTCATTCTAATCAAATCTAAGCAAAATATATGGGTCTAGAAACTGCAACAGACAGTTGAGAATAAGTAAACGAAAACATGCATTATTCATGGCACAATTGTATGGTGAACAAAGGGTGTTAAAAAGGTGATCATTCTCTTAATCTTTCATGATTTATGCAAATGTCTCAAGAATTTTCATTTTTTAATTGCAAACTGAAGTGATAATTCATTCATTCCACTGTCAGGAAATGAATGTGTAACATATAAATAATAATTGCTTGATTAAGGATTGTTTTGCCCTGATTTACAATAAAAAACAGTTATTTGTTTCCTGTGAATGCTTTCCCCAAAATGAAGACAAAACAGGAAATGTCTTTATAGTGTCTAAGAAAATATAAATATATTTCCCAATATCCGTGGGCATATGCATAGCGAAAAAAACCCTATATTTACTTGATTCAGGTAGAAAGTCATTGTAATTGAATTATCGTTATCAAAAAAGATGCTAGGAAAAACAGATGAAAAATGTAAATGTGCTTCCTTCCGGAAAATATTCAAACCTTTTGAAAACTAATTTCAGCATTTCTCTGATTGTCCATGGCTGAGTGAAGTAAGTGACAATGCAGACATTGATGTTGCGTTGTAAGGCTTCATCCATTAAATCACGCATGCACGGGCGAACATGTTGTGATAGTTTCTGTGTACTATCTTTCCAGAAACCTCCGGAGTGGATCGAGATCAAAGTTTCGTCGAAGTCGACCGCAAGAAGACGAATGCCTTTCTTTTCCAGCATTGTAATAAATGTGGATATTTTATCTCTTGCGCTGTCACGTGCGTTACTCATTGTGTTTGTTCCACACGAATACGCAATACTTTTTTCAGGGTCAAAACAAACGAAAATTCCCTTTTTCTACAGGAAACCCAGACTTCATTATAAATTAAAAACGCCATTCCGGACATACTTTCCGGCATAGAGTATTGTAAGTGTTGTGACAAATAATAAAAAATATTCAAGATAACTGATCATTTATAACAGTGAATTATTGTTTAGTTAATTGAACACTGATCAAATGATTGATTATACCACTGAATATTTTTCTAACCGATTTATATTCGCGTAATAGCAGTGGGCTTACCGGCACTGAACGGTTCTTCACGACAGAAGGGTTCGACGCTCAGCAGGGTCAACATTATTTATTTATTTATTTATTTATTTATTTATTTTTCACATCATAGTGTTTGATTACTAGATCGTGTATCTTTTTTAATCAGTCCTTAGCGCATACACCCTTTCAAATTTATTTCGTAAATGTTTATATCTTTATTGCTATTATTATTATTATTATTATCATCATCATCATCATCATCATCATCATCGTCATCTTTTTAGTAAGATAATAGCAAGTGACAAGACTACGAGAAAAATATATGTTCAACTTGTCAGACTTACATGAATATTGGGTCCGTTGCAAATTATCATTTTTATACTCAGACTTACATACATTATCCCTACTCGCCCTCGCTTCTCGTGTTTTTCAGAAAGCAGATACCCATCTGACCCATCGTGTGTTGTGCCATTGGGCAATCATAATTCATTGTTGTTAGTTTATGGATGGCAAGCAACTGATTTCCCATATGTTGTTCAGTAAAGTATTCATCAACTACTTTAAGGAGGCTAAGCCGCCTCAAATTGATCCTGACTGTTAACGTCGGGGCGATAAACACATCTATCAAACTATCCATCCATCCAACAAACCAACCAGCCAATCAACCAACATTTTTTTACAAATCTGTTGATAACTTTTTCTCTAATTTAAGTTTATTTACTATTTCTTCGTTTACATCATAAAATAACATTCCAGTTATCAAGCGCCCAGTATCATTACCGTAGTCAGTCTAAAATATAAACGGTCTAATGATTTGCCAGTAAAACATGAAAAAGTAGTAGAGAAATGTTAGCAGATACACATTTTTGTTGCATATAGAAGAAAATTACTACTAAATACAATTAATTTTGTATGATTTACACGTATCGGGGTATTATTTAGCTAATTCATGAGTATTAGAAATGTAATGCAATACTACATCGGGCTACAGAAGGAAAAATAACGGACGCAGACAGATGCTTTTCCTCTACCGAACTATGTTATCTGTTATAATATACAAACAGAAAGAGGCGTGTCTTGTCAACGTTAGACATGTTTCAAGTGTTGTTCTGGCATCAATAACCATAGATCCAAAATCATTGCAAAATCTCTTAGATTACTGAATAGAAGTTATTAGATCATAGATAGGTTTTTATTTGTGACGTTTCGATATCTACATTGTCACCTTCATAAGCTGTAGACATATGAACCAATGTGAAGAGCATTTACACTGACGTATTCTGTGTATAAAATGGTGCTTACAATTTAATTCACACACAGGGATTTATATAATCTTATGTACAGTTAGATGGAAAGTAGTGTGGCAAGATGACACACATATCGAATTTATTCCATAAGCTGGTAACAATATCATCTAATGATGAGTAATGGATGTGCGAGAGTATATGCCCTTCCCGCCCCCTCGTCTCTGTTTATTTCCGTTATCGCGTAACCTTTATTCTTCTATTGAAAATGATAGTGTAGTCATAGAAACGTCAGTACTTTCATTTATGTACCAAAATTATTTTCAGAGATGATTTCTAAACAGAATGTAGATTTTATAGTGGAACTGAGTGAGTGACAGATACAGCACATGTGTAAGATGGGGTGTTCTACTAGAAACTGTTGGAGTGCATAGTATGCGTGAATAATGGCTACATTTTACAAAGTTGTTCCGAGAGAGACGTATTGATAGTTGTTTTTCTGACATAATTATCAAAAGTAAAAAAAAAATGGGGTAAGTCTTCCAGGAAGCGACATAAGAGTTAGAATCATTTTAAATTGTGTATTATCACCACAGAAAAAAAAACAAAAAAAAACAACAATTCTACAACAGGCAAATTCTTGTCTCGCACGACATTCCTGAATGATGGCTCTACGTCATGCACCAGTAGATAAGTGTCTCCACAGATTTGTTTACTATAGTTAAAGTCTGTAATAAGGAATGTAGAAGTTGTCAGCGTTTTGAAAATTATAGTGAGAGTTATCGACAAGGGGAGAATAGAATGTTACGATAGTTATAATTAGGAGGGTTTTTTGTGGATTTTATAAGATAATTGAAGTTTCGAAGGGCTGAAGGATCACATTCAACTTGATTGTATTAATGATTGTCTGCTGACAGAAATACGTCCAGCTACTAATTCGTCTGTGTCAACAATACCACAACCAACCCAGAGTACATTAATGATCGACATATAATGTATATCGGTTTAGGATATATTTCAATTTACGAAGGGAATATCATTCTTTTACCACTTCATTCAATATTCAATATGATACGCCCCTTTTCTGTCTACAACAGAGTTGGGTTTAGACCTGATTTGTTATGTGTTGAATATCCGATAATTCTTTCATTCTTTTTGGCTAGTTTTTCAAAGGTTACAAGAAGCACTTACTAAAGGCTGTTGTAAATTTGTAACTTGTTTAAAACAACTCATTCGTGTTGAGGTGCTTCTTTGAACATCAAATTATATACATGATATGTTGCTACAAGAAAATGATTTCTGCAGCGTCAATAAGACACCTGGTTGTTAATCAGGAACAGGTATTATCTTTTCAAATCGGACATGGTATCACATAATTTTTTTCTAACCTACCAGACATGCTTTTAAAGCCAAGTAAATCCATGTAAACAGTGATTGTATGATCTACATTGCTGAAAAATGTATATTTTAAAGCTAGATATACCAAACCAAATGGTGCTTATTTCTTAATATCAAATGTTAGACATTTGAATAACAGACTTATATTCAATAGCAGGGTAATGACTTATACGTTCCAGTTACCCTTACCGGTCACAATATATTTCTAAGATTTCAATATCTCAATATATCGTTTTGTCATTTTGTAAGGATTATAAACCCGTCAAACACGGCATGCGTTCGTAGTCGCCCTGTCACCTATTTTACTGGGACAACGAAATTAGTTGAAGTACCTTTAAATGTATTTCCTAAATTCAGGAATAAAAATTCTCAAATGTTCTTGAATTTTCATCATTCTGTCGGTGAAGACTGTACATAGTTACATGTACAAAGATTTCTAAGAAAGCAATCATTCCATTTTCATGATAGAAATGAAAATGTAATAAAATAAATAATGTTCTTGCAAATAAAGGTGTTATACTTAAAAGCACTGGCGAAAATAAATTACATTAATTTTCATAATTATATCGACTTCATTCAAGTTAACACTACACATAGCTCTTCTGGTCTTCTTGACGTTGTGACGAAAAAGAAAATTAATAAAAAAAAAAAAAAAAAAAAGCGAAAACAACATCCTAGAAAGACGAGACAGTCTGACAGTCTTTAAATTACCACAACCACAGTGTGACACGCGTTCGTAATAAAAAAACCCACAGAAATCAAGTAAAAGCATTCCAGTGTTTTATTAAAGTAAACAAAAAACCTCTTTTTTACAACTGCATATCATATAATAACGAAAATCGTTTAGTAACACATGAAATATAAAAATTATCTCATTATTACGACTTAAGTTATCTCCTTATTACGAGTTATGCTATCTTGTTATTACGACTTCAGTTATCTCCTTATTACGAGTTATGCTATCTTGTTATTACGACTTAAGTTATCTCCTTATTACGAGTTATGCTATCTTGTTATTACGACTTAAGTTATCTCCTTATTACGAGTTATGCTATCTTGTTATTACGACTTAAGTTATCTCCTTATTACGAGTTATGCTATCTTGTTATTACTACTTAAGTTATCTCCTTATTACGAGTTATGCTATCTTGTTATTACGACTTAAGTTATCTCCTTATTACGAGTTATGCTATCTTGTTATTACGACTTCAGTTATCTCCTTATTACGAGTTATGCTATCTTGTTATTACGACTTAAGTTATCTCCTTATTACGAGTTATGCTATCTTGTTATTACGACTTCAGTTATCTCCTTATTACGAGTTATGCTATCTTGTTATTACGACTTATCTCCTTATTACGAGTTATGCTATCTTGTTATTACGACTTATCTCCTTATTACGAGTTATGCTATCTCATTATTACGACTTAAGTTATCTCCTTATTACGAGTTATGCTATCTTGTTATTACGACTTATCTCCTTATTACGAGTTATGCTATCTTGTTATTACGACTTAAGTTATCTCCTTATTACGAGTTATGCTATCTTGTTATTACGACTTAAGTTATATCCTTATTACGAGTTATGCTATCTTGTTATTACGACTTAAGTTATCTCCTTATTACGAGTTATGCTATCTTGTTATTACTACTTAAGTTATCTCCTTATTACGAGTTATGCTATCTTGTTATTACGACTTAAGTTATCTCTTTATTACGAGTTATGCTATCTTGTTATTACTACTTAAGTTATCTCCTTATTACGACTTAAGTTATCTCCTTATTACGAGTTATGCTATCTTGTTATTACGACTTAAGTTATCTCCTTATTACGAGTTATGCTATCTTGTTATTACTACTTAAGTTATCTCCTTATTACGAGTTATGCTATCTTGTTATTACTACTTAAGTTATCTCCTTATTACGAGTTATGCTATCTTGTTATTACGACTTAAGTTATCTCTTTATTACGAGTTATGCTATCTTGTTATTACGACTTAAGTTATCTCCTTATTACGAGTTATGCTATCTTGTTATTACTACTTAAGTTATCTCCTTATTACGAGTTATGCTATCTTGTTATTACGACTTCAGTTATCTCCTTATTACGAGTTATGCTATCTTGTTATTACGACTTCAGTTATCTCCTTATTACGAGTTATGCTATCTTGTTATTACGACTTCAGTTATCTCCTTATTACGAGTTATGCTATCTTGTTATTACGACTTAAGTTATCTCCTTATTACGAGTTATGCTATCTTGTTATTACGACTTAAGTTATCTCCTTATTACGAGTTATGCTATCTTGTTATTACGACTTAAGTTATCTCCTTATTACGAGTTATGCTATCTTGTTATTACGACTTCAGTTATCTCCTTATTACGAGTTATGCTATCTTGTTATTACGACTTAAGTTATCTCCTTATTACGAGTTAAAAAAAGGGGGGTTTCCAAACTATGTAGTAATGTTTGTGCTTCATGGCACTCCCATAGAACATGAATAATTGTTTCCCATTCCATATTACAAAGGTTACACATAGGACTATTAGTTATACCAGCTTTAAACTAAAATGAATTATTTGTTAATATATGTTGTATTATCCTCTATTGAAACCACTATAGTTTGGTGTTTCTTGTAACTATGAAGGGAGTTATGTAAATGTCGGACCAGTTCAATTCATTATCTTCAAAAGTCCTCTTCCATTTTGTTCTACCAGTAGAAATAATCACATTTTTTCATCTGAGTATGAAAATCCCTACAACTTCTATCTCTATTTAAGAAAATGGCAATGTTATTTGGAATTAGTGGGTAGACAATTAATTGCTTATCAAATTCAATATTGCTTTTCTGCAAATATACCTTGACAGGTTGTTTCAACGACTTATGCAATATCGTTATTACGAGAGAAGTTATCTCGTTATAACGACTTACGCTGTCTCGTTATTACGAGATAGCTAGATATATATTTTAGGTTATATAAGAAATCTGCTTTTTACCTTCATTTATTCAGAAATTGATACACATCAACAAAAACTACAACTACGTAGAAATAGAAGTAACTTTTTGGGGTTTTTTAGTGATCCTTTCCTCTTATATATGCTTGTTAAAGCAAACATCTTTATGTTAAATGGTCGCGCATGAATCTTACTGCGCAATACAAACATAAAAATGCTAGGATCTCGTTGATTTACATATGCAGATGGAATAGCTCTATGATTTTGTACAGTGATTAAAAAATCACTTTTATTTCTTTTGTACCAATCAAACCAAGACAATAACAATGAAGATAATAAACTGAAATTGTTTTCAGTTATAAACACTTAAATAAGGTGATTTTTTCACAGCATATTCTTCATAATGACAGAGAAAAAATATAAAGAAAAAAATCTTGATTTCAAAAACATTCACAATTAGGAGCAAATTGTCTCCGATATGTTATTTAGTGATGCAGATTTTCGGATGAGAACCAATAGGTTTTGTAATGGTGACGAAGGATAGCATATGTCCGGGCTACATCGAGGGAAATCCCAAGTCATTGTAATACATATTGTTTCTTATCGGAACGTGCCGATCCCGTTTGACTCTGTGGCTTAATAGTCCGTGTCCGCGTCCGTGTCCGGATCATCCTCAGTATACATGTTGTCTGACGTTGTTTCGACATCTAAATTTGCCTTTGTCACTATGATAAATGTAAATATAAAGAACATATATATCATCATTACGAACTTCCTTTAAAAATAAATAAATGATAATAAAACTATGCATCACTGAACCGAATTGACACTAGCTGGCTCTGTAATCTAATTGATTTCGTTAGTTCCCAACATTAACGTCTATGGACGAGTCTATAGAAAGGCTCGCGACCACATGATTTTTATTAAAATAACATAAGTTTTCATGTTGATATATTCACCGATTTAACGTAAAATACCTACAAAATAAAGCCGTAACTATAGACTCTAGATAATCAATGAATGTATAACAGAAAACATGTAAATAATATTGAAAAAAACGAACAGTTGAAATTTCGAGATAGATTGATAACGAAAATGCTTACAGTAAAAACTGGTACGAAACGGATTTGCTATTAATGATATACGACTTGGTTGTACCCGGCCCGATTTTGCACTCAATATGATGTGTAGCACAAACCTGAAGAGTGGATTCCGTTTTATTCATTTATTCAAGCTTTTATAAACAAATGAATTAGAAATGAATTCTCTCACCTATGCCTTTGAACAGCTCAGGCCCTGTGACGTCCCTAGTCTGGAGGTTTTCCGCCTTCAGACGCCAATATACTAGACGGGCAGTTGGACTTCTAGTTGACGTAATGATGTGTTGGCTGTCCTCGCACATTCGGCAGGCAACAATCTAAAAATGTCATTTTACACGTGGAAAAAAAAGAAAGAAAATCTCACAAGCACCAATGTTAAAACACTCACCTCTCATAAAAACCATAATAAATATTAATAGATATTATCAAAATGTTTATTTTAAATGGAATACCTAACTGTAATACTAATAATCAGACGAGTAAAGGAGATGAATTAAGATGTATTAAATGAAAAAGAATAAAATATAACATATTTGTTTTGGATGTTTTTGCATTAAGGGAAACTAAGGAGTAGCGTTAAGGTCTCTCTTCGATCTGATTTATATAATATTCTTATGTAAAGTTGTGAACGAGATTTTATGATCGACGGAAAAGACTTTGAAAAGACAATTAACTGCAAGTTCATGTTAAAATGATACTTTGTCTTACATAAATGATAAACGAGAAGTTAATTTTTAGCTTACATACTGTCAATACTCTAACAAGGTCTTAATTTAAACTGACGAAAAAAAATATATCCTAATGGATATGGTACACATTGGGATAATATAATTATCTGATGAAGCAAATTAGCCAGATAAAGTGATGGTATCTTTCTTAACGTATTTGCTAAACGAAAGCTGACTGAACAAATTAATGACATCTTTCTTACCGTATTTTCTAATCGGAAGCTAGCTAGACATCTAAGTGTAGATTTTTCCCAGACCCGAATAGCATTTTCCAATTCATACGAGAAAAAATAAGGTCCCGTTTCCTTCATACAAACATCGACAGCACTGTTATGTCCCTCAAGGCGGCTAACCAAATCACCTGAAAATCACAAACGATTTGATCTAAATTAAATTCTGTAAGCTATACCCTTGACATATTCTACATAGTTTATCCACAGAAATGGTACGGTATACCCATACACGAGTACGATAAGTTAAACTCGATTGTGTAAATTGCTACCTTGTATTCGCTAATATACCATACGAGTGCGATGTATAAAACCAATTGAATAAAAGTTATATAATATTCAACGGAATGGCGCTTATCGTGTTGGGTAACATTTGAATTACATAACGGTTTGTTATATAAATTAAAAACAATGTACTTATCTCACGTACTTGTCAATATTTACACGGACCCCGACATTTACAAATTGGCGTCACCAAACATGTCTTGAAATATTTTTCTATTTCAAATAAATTAAGGCTAAAACACGGGGAAAACATTTTTCCACATATGTGGAGTTAATCGGACATCTTCATATGGCTTCCGACCGCAGCTAGCAGAACCATTGTCGCAGTTTCTGTTTAAGTGTAAGTATTTTTCATAATGTCTTCCTTTACCTGTTTTTCTGTTCCAAACTCTGAGAACGAAATCATCGTGTGCAGTTAGCAGTCGGTTTGCGTCGATAACGTGTATTTCGTCCACAGAAACATCCAGGCCCTTTCTGTTGTCGATCTCTGCGTAGTTTTGCTGGTACTCAACATCGTCACACTGTGCCACCATTTCACCTGTAAAAATGTTTACCCGAATGTCGCTGACCAATAATACTCCAGGGACTTTTTAGTGATTTGTATTTTGAGATGTATAAACACAGGAAAATCGAAATGTCGAAATGAATTTTCAGTTAGTGATAAACAGCGACCTTGACCTAAGTAGTTATCTTAATGATAAAAAAAAAAAAAAAAAAATGGAAGAGAGTCAGAGAAGGTGAAAAAAAAATAACATGTCTGGAAGGGCACCAAAATTTGAAAAGCAGACTGAAAGTTCTGAGATAGTGTGAATACTTCTTACATTTGCCGACGTCCCAAATGACAAAAGCTGTGGGTGTTTCCTTGTCCGTTCTGGTCATCACCGAACGCTTAATGTTAGAAGAAACGCCAAATAGGAATGATTGCCCATCGTCTGACAGGGCCGCCTTCGCAACAGATATATCATTGTAGGAATGCTCTTGTGGGATCGCGAAGATGCACTGAAAAGTTCTTATGTCAAACAAAAGCCAAGGACCTTTCAATATTCGTGCTGCCAAAACATTCCAATCTTTGCTTACCTAATCGTTGAATAAATGAGAAAAGCACCACGGACTGAAATGAATACCGCATTTCAATACTGATAGAGAATTATACAATTAGAGTCAAACGATGAAAGAATTGTCATCATACAACTGTTTCTTCCTTCTGAATCCTGTGACCCTTGCTAGTGGCTTAAAATCTAAGGTCTAGTAGGCAAATGAAGAAAAGCGAAAATGATTGAAAGAGATACCGCAATCTTGATGATGAAATTGCACTAACGTCATAATTTAATATCTGACATTTTTAAGAGAATGTCAAATGCATATGTATAACCCGATATATTAAAATACGTAAATTAGAAATAATGGTTAACAATTACATAGAACATCTCCTCAAATGGACGATCTGTCTTCACGAAAACTGGCCTGCGGATGATATCCTTAGTCTTTCCGGTCTTTGCATCATATCTCTTAAAGTGTTTTCGTCCTCTTGTTTGTGTGAGTATTTCTGAAGAATACAATACAGCAAAGGTCTACAACTACAGCAGTGGTATTTTCAGATATATATGATCGTGTGTTTTTTTATGCTAATTTGAATGTATTTTATGTTTTCATAATCTTATCATCAATAGTTCATTCAGTTTTCATTGACTAGTATGTGAAAAAGCTAAATGAAATAAACAGCAAACCGAATGAAAATAACTTTTCTTTATTGTAGTGCAGCAAACTGAATTGTAGATGATTAACAAAAAAGTTGTGTTAGCGTTCTGACAAGACACTTACCACAGGTAAAACAGTAAAATTACCGTCTTTGTAATTTATGTATGCCCCGTGATCCCATTTCATATATTGATGTAATTATCGAATGAAAACATGTTAACGTCACTATGAAACATATTTCAGAATTTATCAGCAACTTCAAAATATATTGAGATCATGATGTTCTGGAAAGTTTTCAAATTTTGTTTTGTGATAAAAGTCATGAGTTGAATGTTTATGCAAACCATTGAGTAAATGCCCTACCATACCAAATTCATAATGCGTTATGAACTGCTTAGGTTAAAGCGTCAGAAATCGGCATTCTCTAATTCCATACATTTCACCAATATCACGAAATCAGTTTAAAGTGTATCTATGAATTACAATCCATTCACAATTATGATGTTGCGACGACGTATTCCATGAAAGGTTGAAAGGTGAGTTCGTTCAAGGAGTTTTGTATGATGCATTTTTTTTTCAACCAAGTTTGAATGATGTTTGTTCTGGAGGTTTCGTCTGAAGTGCAATGTTGGTTCTAGAAGTATTGTGTTATGTGAGATGTCGGTTCAAGGAGTATCGTGTTATGTGAGATGTTGGTTCTAGGAGAATCGTGTTATGTGAGATGTTGGTTCTAGGAGTATCGTGTTATGTGAGATGTTGGTTCTAGGAATATCGTGTTACTTGAGATGTTGGTTCTAGCAGTATCGTGTTACTTGAGATGTTGGTTCTAGCAGTATCGTGTTATGTGAGATGTTGGTTCTAGAAGTATCGTGTTACTTGAAATGTTGGTTCTAGCAGTATCGTGTTATGTGAGATGTTGGTTCTAGAAGTAACGTGTTACTTGAGATGTTGGTTCTGGAAGTATCGTGTTATGTTAGACGATGGTTTAAGAGGTATAGTGTTATGTGAGATGTTGGCTCAAGAAGTATCGTGTTACTTGAGATGTTGGTTCTAGAAGTAACGTGTTATGTGCGATGTTGGTTCTAGAAGTAACGTGTTATGTGCGATGTTGGTTCTAGAAGTAACGTGTTATGTGAGATGTTGGTTCTAGAAGTATCGTGTTACGTGAGATGTTGGCTCAACTCAAGAAGTATCGTGTTACGTGAGATGTTGGCTCAAGAAGTATCGTGTTACGTGAGATGTTGGTTCTGGAAGTATCATGTTATGTTAGACGTTGGTTTAAGAGGTATAGTGTTATGTGAGATGTTGGCTCAAGAAGTATCGTGTTACTTGAGATGTTGGTTCTAGAAGTATCGTGTTACTTGAGATGTTGGTTCTAGAAGTATCGTGTTACTTGAGATGTTGGTTCTAGAAGTATCGTGTTACTTGAGATGTTGGTTCTAGAAGTATCGTGTTACGTGAGATGTTGGCTCAACTCAAGAAGTATCGTGTTACGTGAGATGTTGGCTCAAGAAGTATCGTGTTACGTGAGATGTTGGCTCAAGAAGTATCGTGTTACTTGAGATGTTGGTTCTAGCAGTATAGTGTTACTTGAGATGTTGGTTCTAGAAGTAACGTGTTATGTTAGACGTTGGTTCTAGAAGTATCGTGTTATGTTAGACGTTGGTTCTAGAAGTAACGTGTTATGTTAGACGTTGGTTCTAGAAGTAACGTGTTATGTTAGACGTTGGTTCTAGAAGTATCGTGTTATGTTAGACGTTGGTTCTAGAAGTAACGTGTTATGTTAGACGTTGGTTCTAGAAGTATCGTGTTATGTTAGACGTTGGTTCTAGAAGTATCGTGTTATGTTAGACGTTGGTTCTAGAAGTATCGTGTTATGTTAGACGTTGGTTCTAGAAGTATCATGTTATGTTAGACGTTGGTTCTAGAAGTATCATGTTATGTTAGACGTTGGTTCTAGAAGTATCATGTTATGTTAGACGTTGGTTCTAGAAGTAACGTGTTATGTTAGACGTTGGTTCTAGAAGTATCATGTTATGTTAGACGTTGGTTCTAGAAGTATCGTGTTATGTTAGACGTTGGTTCTAGAAGTATCGTGTTATGTTAGACGTTGGTTCTAGAAGTATCATGTTATGTTAGACGTTGGTTCTAGAAGTATCATGTTATGTTAGACGTTGGTTCTAGAAGTAACGTGTTATGTTAGACGTTGGTTCTAGAAGTATCATGTTATGTTAGACGTTGGTTCTAGAAGTATCGTGTTATGTTAGACGTTGGTTCTAGAAGTATCGTGTTATGTTAGACGTTGGTTCTAGAAGTATCAATTTATGTTAGACGTTGGTTCTAGAAGTATCATGTTATGTTAGACGTTGGTTCTAGAAGTATCGTGTTACTTGAGATGTTGGTTCTGGAAGTATCGTGTTACGTGAGATGTTGGTTCTAGAAGTATCGTGTTATGTTAGACGTTGGTTTAAGAGGTATAGTGTTATGTGAGATGTTGGTTCTTGAAGTTTCATCGTATGACTTAGAAAAAAAGTTTTCGCGATTCAATTTCATTTAACAGTCTCAAGTATCTATGTTATATCGCAGATGATCAACTACGTACCTGTCCCGTCATATCTGACATGTATATCTATAGTGAAGCCCGATACATCACCGTCCATCACTTTATCAACAGTCATGTTGTCTAAGTTGATGGTCTTGATTTTCCTGTTTGAGGTGACAATAGCTATACGTTTGTCGTCAAGGATCTTAATCACCCCGGGAGGCTTGTCCTGAAATAGATAGTTTCTATGAGATCACATGGAATCAAAGCACAAAGTAAAGCATGCAACTTCGCAGATTTCAAGCATGACAAATATCATGTGAAGATAAAACTCACATTTGGTAGCTTGACACACAAGCATATTAAAGTATCCATTGATGGTAACAATGTAAGCTTGATATTGTAGCTCATTGTCAATCATTAAAGGCCGTTTAGGTAAAGATAAGTCATCAAATAGTCAGGTATACATTATATTAATTGCAAGGATTAATAAGGTTAGTCAGGTTGTCAGGTTAAATACGTTTTACCATTGATGCTAGTAGTTATTCATTTGTTATACTCTATCAGGTAGTATAAGTATTAAGAAATTGAATCATTTATCATAACATCGTAGACAGATGTTTCTAATGACCATTTACTTAGACGCAAGGCAGGCACGATGGCACCGAACTTTCTGGTTATAGCTGCAGTTAAGAAGACATGTAAGCAAGATTACCAGGTGTATATAACTTGTTAATGGAAATGTTTTTTTACTCATGGTAAACCTAATTCTGCATATACGCGAGGATCATTTGATTTAAAATCGTTTAAAGTTAACCAGTATGCCAACTTTATTTACTTGTAACCGCATCGACTCTTCCATGAATTTTTTTTTTTTTTTTTTTGTGCTTTTTGATAGTTTTAGTCTAAAATATCACAAATGGACTAAGATGGTGTATGATGGAAATAAATTCATAATTAGTCTTGTAATACATGAATATTAATGATGAAACATCTTAGTCACATAATTTTTGCGTGTTAGTACTCACCAACATCGTGCTACGGACAACATTTTTTTTCTGAACATCATACACTTGAAGGTTGCAACTGTCTTTGTCATTGCGGTGTATCTGTGCTACAACCACTACGTAACGGGAGCCACGAAGTGGCAGGAAGTATCTGCAAAAGACAATAGATTGATTCATTTAAAAACATAAAGGAGGAGGTAGGAATCATTCGCCTTTAGTTTCACAATTTATTAAATGTACTATACACCCATAATGTAAGTCAAGACATATGTAGATAAAATGTGTTTACCGATATATTCTATTTGAACATTAAAAAAAGTATAATGTCAAATGCATATCATTTAATGTCAAACTGTAGTTACCCAACAAGGGGCTATGCATTTAGCACTTACTCATATACTAACAAATTGTAAATGTCGTGTATTTTTCATGCATTTGAGTTTTTTTTGTTTAACTTGGGAATTATGAAATTATTTATCAGTGCTGATATAATAACATAATCACAATCCAAACTCAAATTCCATAAAACATGAATAAAATAATGACTTATATGGAAACTCATGAAAATGTATAAGGAGAATAAGACAAAGTGTTCCGGAAGAGTAAGCGTCTTTTGTTTCATCAACCAATATGGTTAAAGATTCGTTGTTGTTAGACAAGGATTTAACTGAAATAAACAAATTATGAAAAACAATTTCTAAATTGTCATATTCAACTGCAATTTTAACTCTCTTGGTTTTACACCAGATTGTGATATATTTTGTTTATTCCGGTAAGAGTTCTGGGTAAATCTAAAGAAAACAAATATCATAAACACTTCACTAGTCCCTGCACTACCCAAGTGTATCTTTTAGTCTGTATTACATGCATAACTGACAGTGATAGTTTATACTGGTGTTGTATAGTTGTTATCCTGGGTCTGTAGAATAAATAAATAAAGATAAAAATATAACAAGTGTATTTTGAAGGAAGACTCTTGTTTTCGAAAAATGTAGTGAATCGTAAAGTAAATCTTACTTTACAAGTACACAACGAAAGCGTTATAAAAACACTCCAAATGATAATAAGTTGGATCGGGCAGATTGCACCGGATCTTCAAGTTCATCAGTTTATCAAAATTTTACCATTCACATGACAACATCCTACCTTATTTTGTGTCCCAAAACAGGGATTTTGTTTTTTGTTTCTTTCTCTTTCTTTTCCATATCCCACACATAAATTGTTGAGTCGTCCTCAATTGTTGTTACCATGGTTTTCCATGACCAGCATATGGCATCGCTCACACAACTTAGATGAGAAAAGATACATGAACGCTGCTTCTTCGCGAGATCCCATACAACGATTCCATCTCCCGGAAAGTATAGCAGATTTCCATTTTCTGATATCCTATAGTTTTGAGCAAAATCCGCCTTTAAACCTAAAATATTAAAGAATCATTAAATATTTACCAACCTATAAAAATGGCTTATAATAAGAACAATAAACATTTAACCAAGTTAAGAGTACATAGGCTCAACGGAAGTAGAAAAAGGCAGCATATGTAGTACCTTTTATCAATCCAATCTTGTTCCGGGTGACCAGGTCGTATATGTGTAGGTCATTGTCCCGAGAGCTTGAGAGGATAAATTGTTTCTCATCCGGTGTGATCGCTATAGCATCTATCTGGAGATCTGCTTGGTTACTTTCAGGTTTGGGATTGAATATCTGAAACCATTCACTCACAGTCTGGTCAGCAAAACTGAACACTATGACGTAGTGTTGGCCACTGTCTGTTAAGACCGCAAAATTCTCGGACGCTGGAAAGTATCACTATTACGATTAATATGTTTGACAGTTCTTTGGTCCTATTACAAAAATGATTTGAAAGAATGATATCAAATTAAACCATTTTGTTTATGACAGAGTGGATTTGAGTACAGCTTATTTATAATTTGCATATTCAACTGGAAATAGGGATGATATATTAACCACTTATAACGAGCTTCTGCATATTATTATTTTCAACTAACATATACTTACTGGCTGTAAATGTAGTCATGCTATGATCACAGAACTGTGTAGAGGGGTCAGATAGATCAAATTTTGTCACAGATTCACCATTTTCCAAGTCATAAACTTGTACAGTCGCATTGTAAAACAAAGCAAGTAATGTTTTTCCTTTTCCTCCTACTATCGACTGACCGCCGTTCTCTCTATCTATGGAGAACGCAACCTCACCAGACTCCTGTATGACAGTATAACTGACAACATAGTCCACCAGAATTGTCTTGTCATTACAAATGAATCGGACGCGAGTGGGTTCATCGTTAATCCCATCGTATGACCTGTGTAATCTCCCTTCAATTAGGTCCCATGTCTTCACAGAATTTTCATTATCATCTGAACCTTAAAAAAAAGGAATTTTCATTACAAAAAGGTGGGATGCACACCATAATTCGAAAGTTCACACCAGTTGTTTAACGTAAAACATGCCATTTCTTCTATACAAAGGATTAATTTACAATGTTACTAGTTAGCTTACTTTAATTGTAATTATTGATGGTATGGATAATTTCGATCAAAATAAATAAATAAATGCATATGCAAATACAATTCCAACTTGACACCATAGCTACACACAAACCTTATGATTTGGTTTCATTTCACCGTATATTTGATTGGGAAAAAACACGTGCACGTACTTTTATGAATTCTGTTGCCTACTGCGATGCCTAATGTGTCAAACTCATTCCGATATGTTTTAGTGTATTTAAGTACAATTCAAATCACATGTATTTCGATGTTTCCATTTCATCGTGTAGAATGAATGTTTTATATGTTTGAAATGTTGGGTCGCCACATCATATTTTACAACTTTTGTATTCTTCTGTTAGAGACATTGATCTGCTCAAACTTTAAAAAAACTTGATTTTTCACTACGGATTTCTTCAGTCTACCTGTCACACTATGACGACCGCAACGCTCTTCACTAGACAGAACAAAAAAGACTGTAAAAATGTGAGATGCATACAAGATACAGCTAGCTTTCCGTCTCCTCGGACATCTACTGAAGTAACAGGGCCATGGTGTCCAGTCAGGCAGAATACTAATTGACCACCCGGCTTTATAAGGACTTCCTGGTCAGGTGCCAGGTAGGGTACACTGCACTGTTGACACTGATTCAGGAGATCAGCAGTGTTCTAAAGTAAATAAACAAGATGTATTAAATGACATCGCAACACAGCGCATAAATGATGCTATGGTAAGACTTTTAGACCAAAAGTAAATTCTAATGATCATTATATAAATGGTATCCAGTTGACGAAATACAGCTACTGACTTGTGTAATACCGACTTACTTTGTATGTTTTCTCTATGATGTGACTACTTGGAATACCTTGTAATTGTAATCAGACTGTGAGAAAGCTATGAAACGACTCAATAGACCAATAGTTCAATACCGCTTCTCCAGATAGTCTGTCTAACAGTTGCGGTGCCAGCTGCATTGGATCGTACTGCAGTGCACCTTGGGACATCTCCAATGCTGCTCCAACGATGTCCAAGACCGAATCGTTGGGGAATTTTTTTCTGGCAAAGGCGAAGTCGTCAAGAATATGTCTAAAATACAAATAGATATCATAAGCAACAAGGGCTTGTTATACGTGTTTAATATTTCATTAGAATTGAAAGAAAGATCCTTTTCCGAGAATAATCATATTGCGCTTACTTAGACCATTCCATGGCGCAAGGTATCAAAATGATAATGAAACTCTCAAATCCTTATACATTCTTCTGAATTAAGAACACTACTCGTGACGTCAGCAGCAATGGCAGTGAAGGCAAATATCATAAAAAAAAACCTGAGGCATGTTTTATTTCTAAAATTTGAACATTAAATCTTAAGAAAATAGCGTTGGGATGTATTAACATGTACACATCAAGAGCTTGAAACATCAGATTAATTAGCTTGACATAAATAACAAGATGCCTTGTATGACTTGATTTATGATTAATCACGATGTAATTGATTATGTATAAATGTATATAGTAAAAGCATCTATCATATAGCTGAGTGTTACGTAGTGCTATATCCGGGTTATGGTTTTGTGTTGCTTAGATGCTATTGGTGTTAGCCTTACCGCGTCTTTCGTTAGAAATAGGGAGTCGTTTTCATATTTTCCTACGGGGTGACCTTCATTATTATAATTGCCGGTTCTTGAGAATTTGTACTGCGATAGTGTTAAAGCTAATATGCTTTCTCTTCGTTTCCTGGTTTATAAGTTAACTTCAATTCATCGCGATGATAATTAATGCGATCGACCAACAGATTAGTTTTTTAATCAACGTGAGTGACAGATGATAACACTTTCCTTCCCTGCCATCGTCTGGTCGTGAATACTCTGAGGGTTAAAAGAGGAGGATATATTTCAAAGTAGAAACTCAAGACTCTTGAAAATAAAGGCGACGGCAGAGAGTTTATAGAAACCGTAATAAATGTATAATACGTATGTATGCAAATTATAACATTGTTACCTTGTAAGCACACATACCTGACAGATGTAGCTACAACTTTAGCCTGTAGAAATTCAAAATTCATCAGGCACGTTTTCTTAAGCTCTGAAATATTTCCTTCCATAACTAGATGATATGGAGCATTATTCAGTCTTCGCAAGTTGTACGAATCTCTATGGATAAGTGGCTGACTTGAAACATGTCGATCCGCTTCGCCAGGCTTTTCTTTATAGACGTACGGCTTTTTCTTTTCTGTAAATGCCAAATGTAATGCCCACAATATACAAACCGTCTGTTTCCTGTGATCAGACTGTATATCTTTCCATATATATACATTGAACTATTACAGAATGAACTTATATAGACTGCAGAACGCTCAATCAATGAACAAATGGGTCGTATTCCATAAGTTTATTATTTATATCATGTGTGATTTCTACCTACCATTGGCCCATTTGCCATTGAAAAAATCCGCGAGTCCTGTGTGAACCTGTTCAACCTCTTGTAGACCACAATATCTATTATCTGCCGTCTCCTTGAACTGGCGATGGTACCAGTTCATGACACTAATACCATCAGAGCCTCTTTCAACTAAAACAGTGCAGGCATTTTCCTCATATTAATTTAAGATCTGGGAAAATACTATGTCATGGATCATGCTGACCGGAAGACTAAACGCCCAGATATGTTACGATGTGATCGACCAAGAGAATAGTGTGATTAGCAGTGCAATATGTTTACTGTTTTGTATATGGATATGGAACACCATCCTATCTCGATTAATCTCCGTAGCGAAGGGTTCAGATTAACAGGTATTGTTTCCATCAATTTTCATTTCTTAACCATTTTCTCGCTTTTCTCTTCCTTTTTTGGTCGAGTTGAGGCAATTATAATACACTCGCCTTTCCACTCCAAGTCTGGGATTTGATTCCCCGAACGGACGTGAATCGGTATGGAGGTTATCTGCCCCACCAAAACAAACTTATTATTCTCCGTTTAATTCATATTAAGGATTGAATATTAAGCGGAAGAAATCTGTAGCAATGCCCAAATAGCTACAAATCGCTAGTAGCTATACAGATAATTTCAAATTTGAAATTTTACCGAAATATAACTGGACTGAGTATGCATATACTCAATTCCGAAACCAACGTAAGGGATACACACCTATGTAGTGTTGCAGGTCTGTCTTTAGTCTCACCAACAGTAGGGGAGGCAGTCGTCTGATTGGAGGTTCCCAATACTGGTACACATCATTCAGTACGGAATCATCACAGGACAAGATGTCCTCCAGTTCCGACTCTGACAGGCCATTTCTTGCTGTAGATAATACATACATAACGAAATGGCAAACATTTGAAAAAGTTAATCTATATTTAAGTCTGAGTTACAGAAAATGTTTATTCCATTGAATAACAGAAAAAATGAAACTATTTGGTTGACGTTTTTGTTTTCCTGTAATACACTTGGTACCCACATTGCGAAAATACAATTAGGTTATGTATTTACAATTTCGATATCGCTCAGAATGTCTGTTAAGACAAAATTTGGAAACAATTTGTTTTGTTGCAACGAAGAGTATATGCATGCTCTTTTTACTGTCAAAAGGACTTTCAAATGCAGACTTTTGAAACCTGTATGTAAGCATTTTAGTAATGATAGTTTTGTCTTTCATATAATTTCAGTTTTAATACATTTTTTCCAAATTGTACAAGTTTTACAAATGGACTACACTGACACAGTGTTATCTCTGTAGATACCGAAAACAAATAATTTAAATTCTGTTAAAATTGCTGTTATGGGTGCCAAGGACATTTGATTATTGTAAGTGCATTTCTGTTATTCCTCAAACCAGAGTTTATGTTTGTCATCTGATTAAATCTAAACATATTAAGGTATGAAATGCTGCTGATTTACAACATAATTTTGCAAAATACGCACAGGCTGTAAGATATCCAAGTGTCCTCGACACGAACATCTGTCCGTGTTTACTTTCCAACTTAGAAAACAGATAGGTGATGCTGTCTTGCACTGTCTGCTGCAGTATGGTTTCACTTTCAGTCCAGTAGGAGTGCCATTTAGCAGCACTTTCAATCGACAGTTTCAGAAAAAGCGGCAGTGGACGTTGCAGAACACATTTGGTTAGTGTGGTCATCTGTGTAAAACTGAGTGTTCTTTTACGGGAGCGTAACCATTGATGTAAAATAGTCTCGGCTTCTTCAGTTGTAAGTTCCGGTAATGACACAAACTGATCTTCATCTTTGAACATTACCTGAAATATTACAATCAAAGTCATGTTTAGAGTCTCACATGCATTAAATGCAACACTATAGTCATTCGTCCCAACACCAATTTATTTGGATATATTTAAAAAAATATACACTGGCGAGGATCAATAAGATTACTACAGTATTCCCATACTATGGTAGACGAAGATTAACTTTTAGAATGTCCCATCTGCTGAACTAAATAAAGGTACCCTCTCCACTTGATTAAAGGGATATTCAGCACAAGCTAGGATTTCGTAGGATGCTTCTGAAAAAAACTGTATGAAATAATCCACTTAATTTGCAGAAATTTATAGGTCAGGCTAGATCGATTTATAAACGTTCGCGCAGCCCTGATTGCGTCATCACAGGTTTGTCTGGATAAAAACCGAACAGAATGAAATATTTGTTTAAATTACAACATTAACAGAAAATAAGCATCATGAAGTAACTAGTGTATTTCCCCAATACTATACACAAAACCTATGATCCAGTGACCTTTCAGTTCCAAGATTTGGATTAGATTAGATTGTTTGGCTGGGAGTATTCGAACTAACTTTGCCTATCCAAACTGGCCACAGGAGAGATATTTTGATGCTAACGATAGTGTTAAAAGTTAGTAGAATGAGTTCTAAAAACAAGCAGTAGTTTCGCAACTTGGACGGAATATCCATTTACATCGACGTCTTTGGTAAATATCCATTTCTAATCGAATTCTTCATGTATTCGGTTGAAATCGATCACTGTGAATACTTTACCAGCTGAAACTGTCAATACTAATTATGTTTCGATTATGTAAATTGTATCATGGTTTTAAAAAATATATATGTAACATATAAGATTGAATTTACAACAAACTACTCATTCTAGAAATCAATGCCAATAATCAAGACAGGTCAAATGCAGAGAAACTGAAGAAGTGATGATTATCAGACAATTTTGTCAAAGGATGAAAAAAAAAAAAAAAAAAAACAAGAAAAAACCCACAAGTCAACAAAATCATAATTCAAACTTATATTCGCTGAAACTATAAACAAAAGAAAGATTTGCAAGTACAAGGAGAATAAAACCATGTGTTCCGGAAAAGTAAGCGTCATCTGGTTTATCCACGACATCCGTCATGTAAACCTTGTTCAACCCAAACAAGTAGTGTCACTTTCTCAAATGAGGGTAAGGTATACAATAAAAAGAATCAACAGGCAAACTAACGAGCTTCAAATACGCCCAGTTTCATATCGCAGACAGAAACAAAATATTTCTTAATGTGATCACTATGAAGACCGCAAAACTTCTCCATGATTTTCATCGGCCTACATCTGCTAAAACCCTGTATTATAAGTAAGCTTTCTTTCTAACATCGTAATCTATATGTATGATCCAAACATTTGTGAGCTGCACACTGTAAATACTGAAGAAATACAGGTCGTTGTTATATCAGTACATGGTCTCTTTATGAACTTGGGCATCCAGTACTGGTAGGTACATGTATTTCCTACGAGTAAACAAAGACAACCTAATAAATTCCTTTTTACAGCACTGACTACTAAATAAATCGTCAGAGAGAAAAACATCCATCCAATGTCAATTCTCATCAAACAATTAAAATTACGACTACTAGTAACTGAAAACATCTTCAATATTAACTAGATCCAGTCGACTACTGCAACATACTAATTGATCATTTTCTTTAAATAATTACCACATGCGTGTAACTTTCATCCTGGTTTAAAGTCATAAGACAAATAGGTGTATAATATATATCGATATATGTTTATAAATGATATCTACCTTTAGTTTAGGATAACATTCAAAGTCTGCATCCTCGAGTGTCGACACTATCAATTTGACGTGTTTTGGAAGGGTCCGAGGTACCCAGGATAAACTTCGAGCATTGTAAGACGCATCTATCTGATCCAAGGCGTCCAAAATGATGACGAGCGGTTGAGATGCTTTAGCGAATTTCAGTATCAATTCTGTTTCTTTAGTCAATTCCCGAAGACTCTTGTAATAGCAAAAATAAAACCGATGTAAGAGACAAAAATGGTTGATGGTAAATGAATCAATTCCATCCTTCCTGCCAGCATCTGCATTTACTAACAATTGATAACTTTTATCCTAACTCTGTAGATGTAACATTGTATGACGGACAGTTGTTTTGACTCTATTCGGTCAATGAAGACATCCATGTCTTCAACGTTTGTTAAATTATTAGCAGGCAAGTTAAGTGTATACTAGAGAGGTAGACATTTGGAAATTCGAGACATTTAGAAGCAAATTGACGTATAGATTAATAATTGTTGAAAATATATCGCGTAAGGAACTTGCAGACAATAACTGTAGAAACCATTTCTAGTTATGGACAGCAAGACATATATCGCTTGAATCTACATCGAGTGATAGACAAGCTTAAAGATTACTTCAATACATAACGCAAAACGTGAATCGTTAAAAAGACATAGTATCAAATGAATCTTACCCCTGGTATCTTTGATGTCTTATTATAGACAGAATGTATCTGTTTGATAATATTTATTAGGAGTCCACTGATATTGGAGCTGTCGGGTGTGGTTCCAATAAACCTACAAATTGTATAATACAATATCAATAACAAGGTAATAAATAATTTGGCAAAAAAAAGGTAAATACTAATTAATATGATAGGGATGCACAACCTCACTCTTTTCTGATACGTCATTAGCCGTAAAGATAGAAACTGATGAGCTGGTTTATAATTAATACTAACAATTATATCTGCCATTTTAAGCAAAACTGTACACTTCCGATATTGTTCAGTGTATGTAACTTTCAATCAATTACGTTAGTAACTACGATACTCATATCATTGACGATATTGACACAAGTTATTTACATCTGCAGTACATAATTATTTTTATGCGAATGTTACCGGAGTATGACAGTAGGATTTGTGTTCGACATCCATGTTTTGATGAGGCTGGCGGTCATTGCCACAAGAGACGTTTTGCCACATCCTGAGGCCCCATGGATAATCAAGGGCTTGGTACTCGCTGATTTGATGTAAGCCTCTATTTTCTATAAGGAAAAGTGTTTATTTTAACAAATTGAACAAACAAAATCTTAAAACAGCGTAGCATTTGCTAACTCGTGTATTTATCATAAACAAAACAAAACAAAAACAAAACAAAAAAATGGCTGAAAATGGTCATTGATATATCATCAGGTTTTTCTATTAGAGTTACCTTCCCTTTACAAACATCCACAGATTTTGCGGTGATGCGACCGGTTTCCCACTTATATTTAATCATCTCGAAATACGACTACATTCAATGATGTAAGACTGTGTTATTTATTTATTTACAGATTGAAGCTTTGGCAAATATCTGGAAGGCGGAGAAGCAATATACAATGTGTGTTTTCTAACTTTCGCGAGATTAGAACAGAGTTCTTTTTCTTAATTTGTTACACACTGTCTTTCTCCAGTACGAAATCTATTTGAAAACGAAAACTTGAATTTCAGAAAATAATATTGTATCGATTCGCAAACCAAAAACATATTTCGGTAGGTTTCTACACTTGTTTCGAAATCGTTTTTCCATTGAATTCTGCTTTCGGATTTGGGCCATCAAAAAATTAAGGCAACTTATATGGAAAGTGAGTTTATTATTTCAAGTCAATATTTTAATCTCCATACTCTAATACTAAAACGTGAAACGCTCTTATTGAATTTTTGTGTTGGATTATTTTATGACATTTTTTCAACTATTTGCTTATGTTTCTTTAACTACTTCGATGGCCAGATTGATAGAATCAATGGAATTTATTCCGCAGAATGAAACGGACATAAATTTACAAAACACTTTTTATTACAAGTGGGATTTCTTCAAATAGCAGGACTTTAAACAATTTCTTGATTCTTAACGAGTCCTCAAAATCGGCTTTAAAATACAACGTTGCCAGGTGTGAAGAGAAAGAATGTTAAATCATACTGTTAATGAGGAACATACAATGCAGTGACATTTACCAGCTTCAACCATTTCCATAGTATTATGATATTATCATATTACTTTTTGAAGAAAACAAAAATATACTTTAATACTGGAAGTAGGATATGTTGTAATTTAATCTTGCTTTGTTTTGATATCTTTAGATTTCATTTCAAAGAATGATATTTTCTGTATAAACGCTTAGGCACCAGGCATCACTTGAAGTTAATCGGATTACCACATTGCAACCTTATTTTTATCGGTATCTGGCTTATATTAGTAAAATTGAAAAATACACAAATAAATATATTAATAAATAAAATCTGAAAAAAAATAAAACAAATGAAAATGGCAACAAGTGATCAACAAATTTCTGTACCGCAAGAGTTGTCTCCCTTCCACAGAAGTTCTCACATTTCTGTTGACAGAAGCGCACGTGTTGGCAGCACTCCAGTATAAGTGGATTGGTGAATTCGGTGGCAGTACGCTGCTTTATACCATCTTCAATTAATCTTTCCATTTCAGACGTAAATTTTTCTGTCATAGCTTTGAGATAGTCTTTGTGTTGAGCATTTTTCGGATCGATACCTGTATTTGGATATACCATAAAAGGACTAAAGAATAAAACATGTTTTAACATACTGTGACAGTGCTGTCTTCCAGACGGTCACATCCGTGGTTCATCAATGTTGTGACATTAAATTGACCATACACTATTGTCATTATTTTATTTTTTCTGATCTATTTATTCATTTATTTTTTTTACTTATATTTATTCATTTTTGTTATACTAAAATTCAACCTACTTAATAAGAATTCCAAGAAGAATAAAAATAAATAAATAAGAACTGGATTATAGGAACATGTGATAAGCTTGTGAAGCGTAGGGTAATAGATTAATATTAATTCTTTACAATTGAAAATGCTGCTGTCTGAACAGTAATGCTTTAAGTTACGAATTTAAACTATGATATAAATACTATTAACGCCTGATGATTTTGACGTCATTGTTGTGAGAACGAGACGATGATATACCATCAAAAAAACTGTTCCACTGGACTGATTGATGCTATTTCACATGCCCTACGGCGTCTTGACAAGATAATGTTGTTTGATAAGGATTCTACTTCCTTAACTTACCATCTTTAGTCCATTTGACTTTATACTGATACAGATTTCGCGGTGGCAATCGAGACTTCATCTTTGTCTCCTGCAGGACACTGAGTAATCTTCTAGATTCACGCCAGTAGTCTTCGTCTTTATCCATATCTAATGATAAAAAACTTCTAAAAATCCGTTTTTCCTCAAATAACCAAGTTACAAAAATTAAAGTGAGTCAAAATTATCGACAAAATATTGCAAAATATTGAACATCATCATCATCATCATCATCATCATCATCATCATCATCATCATCATCATCATCATCACCATCATCATCAGCAGCAGCAGCATAATCATCATCATCATCATCATCATATCATCATCATCATCATCATCATCATCATCATCATCATATCATCATCATCACCATCATCATCAGCAGCAGCAGCATAATCATCATCATCATCATCATCAGCAGCAGCAGCAGCAGCATAATCATCATCATCATCATCATCATATCATCATCATCATCATCATCATCATATCATCATCATCACAAATATTGTTTTCCTTCGTCATAAAGTGGTTTCACTTTGCAATACACAAACAGTACATTCGTTGTGAAAACATGAAGTTTAACAAAAAATATCTTTATTTATGTTACTTATATGTTGATTGATTTTAAACCCCTATGACTGTAATGTTAACACCGATATACCTATAAATTTCCTGCGAATATTTTCATCCTGGTTTTTCAGATTCTCAATATCATCGATTGTGCGCCAAAACCAAAGACAGTGTTTCTCTGGTTCTGTGACGTCCAGCAGGCCGGCTTGAACCTCCTTTTCCGTAACTGTATAAATAGAAATAAGTTAATTAACAAGGTTAACATAACGTTTCTATAACTTTATACTGAAATACACGTAGTATACATACGACATTATAACAACACGTGTTTTGATAGGAACAAAACATGATGAAATAACAATGCACCACATCAGTACATACTGGAAACGTAGTATTTTTCAGCTTCGTTTTCAGGGAGACTTTGACGGGCTGCTTGATCCAATGTTGTCTGTATGATACCTATATCACTAGTCCACTGATCATTAGCTGCCTTATACTGTTCAGCGTCTTTGCTCATAATGTTGGGAAGTACACGACTAATCGGCTGAAGAACGTATTCTGGGGGCACCGCATTGTCATCCCGGAGGTACCATCTGTTATGAATAATTTAGATTTAATAATTTGATGATTCAAGATTTCAAACAGTGCAGCAGTATTAGAAATTACAAATTCAAATATTTGATTTAACCTAGGTCGGGGGGAGTGGCCGGGGTAGAGATGTTGTGGTGATTTGAGGAATGAATATCAATCAAAGGCTAGTATTTTTACCAGTGTGATACTGTTTACAGAGAAGCTACTATAACTTCATTCTTCCTGCCTACATCAAAATTGCTAATCTAAGCATTTGCAGAGTACAAGCGATTTCCTATAACATACATGGGGTCAAGATTTGCGTCATTTTGTCAACCAGAATTTCCGATACCTTTATTAGTTCTGTCAAATCTTATTGTCGAATTTTTATCAACTGTTACACACATGTTATGTTATCACAAATCGTATCATACTTGTTTAAGAGAGCTCTGTTATATTCGTTCTCAACTACTCCAAGAAGTGTATTGAATTGGTCCACGGGGATAGTTCGAGGAGGAGCGCGGTATCCATACTTGTTAGCAAGGAGTGACTGTAAGGAAAATCGACCAAAACGAAATATCAGTTTATACAAATATGGTAAGACAACGTGTTTAAACATATGCTTAGGAAGATACTACCAAAATAAAGACGTGTGGTTATAAAGTTGTTTACGGTTCATAACGTACAATGCAGATGAAATATGATAGTGGGTTGTCGTATGTACAATCTAATACACAAACTATATCACGGTATTTGAATCATATCGAAATCTTTTACTTATTGACTAAACAACGCCATAAAGATTTAAATCATAACAAAAGATAGACAAACTTGTCAACCTCTTCCACGCTCCGCAATTTGATTCAAATTACGGAAATGGCATTTACACAAAATCTAAATAATACTGGTTACCACGCCATAGAAAGTATGGGATGTAACTCATCAGTGTTAATAAGAACTATTAGATATGACATGAATTTTCACAAAGGTCATGTCAACAATTGTCCGTTTGTTTTTGATAATTATGCAAATTAAATCTGAAACTACATCATTACTAGATCGATAACAAACACGACGACTGATCTTTTTTCTTAACATTAATCGTGGATTGTGTTTATAGTCAGAACCAATTGTGAAAATAACTCCAAGATTTAGAACAGTAGTTTCTCATCAACCTATTTTTCTTAGCTGCAGATAGTACCGAAGTGCTTAAAAGACTTATTTTCTACACTTACGATAAAGTTCGGACCGGTAGAAAGTTCCTGACATAATCTTAGTTCGTTCATACACAGATCCAAGGTAGTGTGGTCATCAGATGCCTCGTCTCGGACTCCCCATCTCATATCCACCACCTGAAACTCGTACCCTCGCATCTGGCAGAAGGAGCGCAGCTCAGGGTATGCTCTTTGCATCCACCAGTTTCTTTCGTACATTGTGTCTTTCAAATGAAAAAAACACGTCACATAAAGAAAGCAATGGAGATGTCACCAGATTAGATAAAATTAGCTTTTGTCTGTGTGTTTTATTTTTAGATTTATATCTTAATATTCATGTACTTTTCGGAAATCGGTATTGTGGGTTTATCTTTCAACTGACAAATTAAAATCGTTATATTGAAAACAATCCTATAAACTCCACTAGTTGTAAAAGCATACATAAAACTATCTAGAAATGGTCAATTCACAACTGTCGAAACTGCCTTTGTTTACTTTGTTAAAGGAAAAGATTGATCGCGCTAATCATCTTATATCTTTATTGCCATATTTTGTTATTCATATACAAGATACCGTTAAAACATCTAAAGAAGAAATCGCGACATTTCTGTGATCTATTGTGATAAGATCTTCGTTAAATTCAACCTCTTAAGAAAACAACATTACGTCCGCCAAGAGAAGGGCTTGTTTGGTATTACAGGTATGCCAGTTCTCTGTTGTAATAGCTTAATATCAAAACGATACTGTCCCCCAGAAAATCGATTATTTTAAATTAATCTTTAAACCATGCCCCGCAACACATTTTTTTTAATATTACGCATGTTGAAACTGTGAAATATTAAGTCAGATTTTCAATACCGCTTGAACTAAGGTAAAATTCCTTTGAAACTACTGTCACAATCAAATTTTCACAGGTATTACAGGTATGCCAGTTCTCTGTTGTAATAGCTTAATATCAAAACGATACTGTCCCCCAGAAAATCGATTATTTTAAATTAATCTTTAAACCATGCCCCGCAACACATTTTTTTTAAAAATATTACGCATGTTGAAACTGTGAAATATTAAGTCAGATTTTCAATACCGCTTGAACTAAGGTAAAATTCCTTTGAAACTACTGTCACAATCAAATTTTCACACAAATGTCATTCTTTGTGGAAATATTATTTTCAGAAAAGGAAACTTCTTATAGCATCAAATATTTGTTTGAAATTTAATCGGAAATAATATACAGAAATAACAGGAACGATTCGACCTGTTGACAGACTTCAAACTCGAATTCGATGAAACTGGCAAAATATGAAAAAAAAAAAAAAAAAAAAAATACACGGAGAATTTTGAAAATGCATAAAATGAATGTGAACTCTGCTCCCTCTTCGTACTTGCGATTTCAAAAAGTAATTCTCTGACGTTATATTGAAATAATTTAGCAGCAAGTAAGGTTTTTATTCACTTATCCCTTATGATGTCGATAAATAGACTAGTAACAATCTACTTTTATTTGTTCATGTACGCAGTGACAAATTCTGATATAAGAATAGAAGGAAAGAAATATTAATAAATTGTAGATATTGAATGGATTTTCAGGAATACAGCACTGATGAAACGAGCCTTACAAGTGTCCACGTGTGGGATATTCTGTTTAAAAAATGTAAACATTCGTTAAAGCAGCATTTTGATAGACTTGCTCAAAGTCTAACATAATAATATTCTCATCATGTATCTTTCGTTGACAACATCACCATGCAAATGATGTTATGACGTCATTATGGAAACAAAGAAAAAAACAACTGTTATATCAGTTACTGTATTTCCATTGATAGTACATACCAGTGAATGTACTACTGGTGAAAATGCGTACTATTCTGTTCTTGGGTGGAACTTCAATACTGACGTCACCAGTTAGGAATTTATTCACGGTTTCCCGGTCCAGTGTTCCCTCTGTTTTCTCCCTTTCAATTCTCACTATAGCCTCGCTAACATTCCGACGAAAGCCGGATCCTGAGGTCTTACTACTAATAGACCAAAACATCAGTTTTCATATGTTGACCTTCAAAAATAACACAAAGATGAGTCGCTTACACATCGGAATGTTTCAGCACAGAATTAAGCGTTATAGATTCATTTCTCCTGGTCACTACGTCATGTCTGACCAGTTGGGTGGTATCTATAACAACTCTAGGTTTGATTACAGTGGTAATATATAGACTAGTAATACAATACTGTTTCAATAATTTAAGGAATACAATAATGTCCTATAAACATTTGATATATCATGTTTTAGGCCATCTGTTTGCAAGACTGAACTGATCCAGAAAGAAAGTGTGCAGGGTCGGGGAAGGGGGTGTGGTCGATCGCCACGATTCCTGTACCATGACAAGGGGTTTGTGTTATATATATATATATATACATGTATATAGGTATATTTCTGTATATATATATGGTTTGATTTTCATTTACTAGATACGTGTCTTGTTTATCAATTTCCCTTTTTAATTTAATTTGATTTTGATTATTTTTTTTTAATTCGTTTGAACCTGCATGCTGGTAAGTTGTATACGGACAATACAACTGTGTGATACAATCCCCACAATTCAGACAATATATCCTCTTACACCGGACAGGTATAAAATTTCCTCATCTCACTCTCAACCTAGTGTTGAGACGTAGGATGGTCTCACTCTCACACTAGTGTTGAGACGTGGGATGGTCTCATTCTCACCCTAGTGTTGAGACGTGGGATGGTCTCATTCTCACCCTAGTTTTGAGACGTGGGATGGTCTCACTCTCACCCTAGTGAAGAGACGTGGGATGGTCTCACTTCCACAATAGTGTTGAGACGTGGGATGGTCTCACTCTCACCCTAGTGTTCAGAAGTGGGATGGTCTCACTCTCACCCTAGTGTTGAGACGTGGGATGGTCTCACTCTCACCCTAGTGTTCAGACGTGGGATGGTCTCACTCTCACAATAGTGTTGAGACGTGGAATGGTCTCACTCTCACCCTTGTGTTCAGACGTGGGATGGTCTCATTCTCACCCTAGTGTTGAAACGTGGGATGGTCTCACTCTCACTCTAGTGTTGAGACGTGGGATGGTCTCACTCACATACTCGTGTAAAGACGTGGAATGGTCGAACTCTCAAACTAGTGTTGAGACCTGGAATGGTCTCACTCTCACTCTAGTGTTAAGACGTTGGATGGTCTTACTCTCACCCTAGTGTTGAGACCTGGAATGGTCTCACTCTCACTCTAGTGTTGAGACGTGGGATGGTCTCACTCTCACAATAGTGTTGAGACGTGGAATGGTCTCACTCTCACCCTAGTGTTGAGACGTGGGATGGTCTCACTCTCACCCTAGTGTTGAGACGTGGGATGGTCTCACTCTCACCCTAGTGTTGAGACGTGGGATGGTCTCACTCTCACCCTAGTGTTGAGACCTGGAATGGTCTCACTCTCACTCTAGTGTTGAGACGTGGGATGGTCTCACTCTCATCCTAGTGTTGAGACGTGGGATGGTCCTACTCTCATCCTAGTGTTAAGACGTGGAATGGTCCTATTCTCATCCTAGTGTTGAGATGTGGGGTGGTCTCACTCTCACCCTAGTTTTGAGAAGTGGGGTGGTCTCACTCTCACCCTAGTGTTGAGGAGTGGGATGGTCTCATTCTCATCCTAGTGTTGAGACGTGGAATGGTCTCACTCTCACCCTAGTTTTGAGACGTGGGATGGTCTCACTTCCACAATAGTGTTGAGACGTGGGATTGTCTTACTCTCACCCTAATGTTGAGACCTGGGATGGCCTCACTCTCACCTTACAGTGTTGAGTCGTGGAATGGGCTCAATCTCACTCTAGTGTTAAGACGTGGGATGGTCTCACTCTCACTCTAGTGTTGAGACGTGGGATGGTCTCACTCTTACCCTAGTGTTGAGACGTGGGATGGTCTCACTCTTACCCTAGTGTTGAGACATGGGATGGTCTCACTATCACCCTAGTGTTGAGACGTGGGATGGTCTCACTCTCTCCCTACAGTGTTGAGTCGTGGGATGGTCTCACTCTCACCCTAGTGTTGAGACGTGGGATGATCTCACTCTCACCCTAGTGTTGAGACGTGGAATGGCTCTCACCCTCTCACTCTCACCTAGTGTTGAGACCTGGGATGGCCTCACTCTCACCCTACAGTGTTGAGTCGTGGAATGGGCTCAATCTCACTCTAGTGTTGAGACGTGGGATGGTCTCACTCTCACTCTAGTGTTGAGACGTGGGATGGTCTCACTCTCACAATAGTGTTGAGACGTGGAATGGTCTCACTCTCACCCTAGTGTTGAGACGTGGGATGATCTCATTCTCACCCTAGTGTTGAAACGTGGGATGGTCTCACTCTCACTCTAGTGTTGAGACGTTGGATGGTCTTACTCTCATCCTAGTGTTAAGACGTGGAATGGTCCTATTCTCATCCTAGTGTTGAGATGTGGGGTGGTCTCACTCTCACCCTAGTTTTGAGAAGTGGGGTGCTCTCACTCTCACCCTAGTGTTGAGGAGTGGGATGGTCTCATTCTCATCCTAGTGTTAAGACGTGGGATGGTCTCACTCTCACCCTAGTGTTGAGACGTGGGATGGTCTCACTTCCACACCCTAGTGTTGAATGGTCTCACTCTCACCCTAGTGTTGACGTGGGATGGTCTCACTCTCACTCTAGTGTTGAGACGTGGGATGGTCTCACTCTCACTCTAGTGTTGAGACGTGGGATGGTCTTACTCTCATCCTAGTGTTAAGACGTGGAATGGTCTTACTCTCATCCTAGTGTTGAGACCTGGAATGGTCTCACTCTCACTCTAGTGTTGAGACGTGGGATGGTCTCACTCTCACTCTAGTGTTGAGACGTGGGATGGTCTCACTCTCACTCTAGTGTTGAGACGTGGGATGGTCTTACTCTCATCCTAGTGTTAAGACGTGGAATGGTCCTATTCTCATCCTAGTGTTGAGATGTGGGGTGGTCTCACTCTCACCCTAGTTTTGAGAAGTGGGGTGGTCTCACTCTCACCCTAGTGTTGAGGAGTGGGATGGTCTCATTCTCATCCTAGTGTTGAGACGTGGAATGGTCTCACTCTCACCCTAGTTTTGAGACGTGGGATGGTCTCACTTCCACAATAGTGTTGAGACGTGGGATTGTCTTACTCTCACCCTACTGTTGAGACCTGGGATGGCCTCACTCTCACCTTACAGTGTTGAGTCGTGGAATGGGCTCAATCTCACTCTAGTGTTAAGACGTGGGATGGTCTCACTCTCACTCTAGTGTTGAGACGTGGGATGGTCTCACTCTTACCCTAGTGTTGAGACGTGGGATGGTCTCACTCTTACCCTAGTGTTGAGACATGGGATGGTCTCACTATCACCCTAGTGTTGAGACGTGGGATGGTCTCACTCTTACCCTAGTGTTGAGACATGGGATGGTCTCACTATCACCCTAGTGTTGAGACGTGGGATGGTCTCACTCTCACCCTAGTGTTGAGACGTGGGATGTTCTCACTCTCACCCTAGTGTTGAGACGTGGGATGGTCTCACTCTCACACTACTGTAGAGTCCTGGGATGGCCTCACTCTCACCCTACAGTGTTGAGTCGTGGAATGGGCTCAATCTCACTCTCACTCTCACCCTAGTGTTGAGACCTGGTATGGTCTCACTCTCACCCTAGTGTTGAGACGTGGGATGGTCTCACTCTCACCCTCACCCTAGTGTTGAGACGTGGGATGGTCTCACTCTCACCCTACAGTGTTGAGTCGTGGGATGGTATCACTCTCACCCTAGTGTTGAGACGTGGGATGGTCTCACTCTCACCCTAGTGTTGAGACGTGGGATGCTCTCACTCTCACCCTAGTGTTGAGACGTGGGATGGTCTCACTCTCACTCTAGTGTTGAGACGTGGGATGGTCTCACTCTCACCCTAGTGTTGAGACGTGGGATGGTCTCACTCTCATCCACCCTAGTGTTGAGACGTGGGATGGTCTCACTCTCACCCTAGTGTTGAGACGTGGGATGCTCTCACTCTCACCCTAGTGTTGGGAGTGGTCTCACTCTCATCTCTAGTGTTGAGACGTGGGATGGTCTCACTCTCTCCCTACAGTGTTGAGTCGTGGGATGGTCTTACTCTCATCCTAGTGTTAAGACGTGGAATGGTCTCACTCTCACAATAGTGTTGAGACGTGGGATGGTCTCACTCTCATCTAAGTGTTGAGACGTGGGATGGTCTCACTCTTACCCTAGTGTTAAGACGTGGAATGGTCCTATTCTCATCCTAGTGTTGAGATGTGGGGTGGTCTCACTCTCACCCTAGTTTTGAGAAGTGGGGTGGTCTCACTCTCACCCTAGTGTTGAGGAGTGGGATGGTCTCATTCTCATCCTAGTGTTGAGACGTGGAATGGTCTCACTCTCACCCTAGTTTTGAGACGTGGGATGGTCTCACTTCCACAATAGTGTTGAGACGTGGGATTGTCTTACTCTCACCCTACTGTTGAGACCTGGGATGGCCTCACTCTCACCTTACAGTGTTGAGTCGTGGAATGGGCTCAATCTCACTCTAGTGTTAAGACGTGGGATGGTCTCACTCTCACTCTAGTGTTGAGACGTGGGATGGTCTCACTCTTACCCTAGTGTTG